GGCAGACATGGACAGGAGGCAGAGGAGGGCAGGCCTCACTGGCCGCCATATCTGAGACAAACAGCTGAGTTTCTGTGGACACTGGCCCTGCCAAAAAACCAGGTGAGAACTCCTGATTGTCTGGAGCTAGACCTAAAGCAGTTCAGGGTTTCAAGTCCGTTCCTGTCCCAGTTGTGTGTTACTTTCTGGCAACCCTCAAAGTCTGCTCTACATAGGCAACTGGTCACTGCCTCTGCTGGCCCTTCCACACTGCTAGGATCCCACCCCTAGGGGGCCCCTGTCATCCAGGCTCCTTCTGCTAAGGACAACTGCAGTCAGGAGAGGCTCTATGCTCCTGCTGGGACCAGGAGCTCTCAGGAGCTCACAGGGAGGCTGAATGTAAGGACTCGCAGCCAGATACCATGCAATGGAAATGGATCAGTTCTAACTGCCATAAGCAGATTCTGAGACTGGAAGTTCTTGTCGGAGGAGGCAGGATCAAAGTTGAAAAAGTCCTCTTGGGGCCCAGAGGTCATCAAAAACATTGACCCCAATGCACCAAGGCACAGGGGCAGAAGGGAAATCAGACAGAATCCTGATCAGGATCAAGCCCAGGACTTTACAGAGAATTCTGCAAGCCTCGCTCAGACATAGCCACTACCAGGAAGTCAAGTTCCACTCCTTGGGCCAAGCCGGAACACACCATCAGCTCGGCTCCTTGGCCTCCCCTGTGTTCAGGGCTTCCACAACCTATAGGACATGCTGGCCCCAGACCCAAGAGCTCTGAGCTCTCACAGCTTCAGCCTGGAGACCCACCTGCAAACTCCTTTTTCTGCCAAGCCAGTCCTGCAAGTGCACATAGATGCAAGCACTGGTGAGATGTGCAAAAGGCTTCCTCTCAATGGCTGTGTGGCACCACCAATGCCATCTGCCCGGCCCCCCAACATGTCTTCCCTCTGCCTTTTATGCATCTAAAAAATCCCAGAGCTGTTCAGCAGGAACCCAAAATGCCTGATTCTGAGGGGAGCAGGAGGAGTGAACACATAGCACTGGGTGCTGCACTGGCACCATAAGCACGCAACATGGTCACAGTGCACAAAGGACGTCTGTAAGGACACCCCAGCCATAGTAGGAACTCCATCTTACCCAGCTGCACTGTTTGCATCGCACTTGGCTTCAGCCCTTGGAAATCCATGCAAAGGCCCGACAGGCTAGGACACCTGCTCCCCTAGGCAGTCTGACTCAGACCTTGTCACTGGACTGTTCCAGATGCCTTCTAATATGAGGAAGAGTGGCTGTGGGGCTCTCAGGAAATGTTGCATGTGTCCTCGGCCATGTCACCAGGCACCTCCAGAACTGGTGTGAAAGCATGGGAGTGTGGACTGCCCAGGGGTGACACCTGGGGCTCTTGCTATACTAGGAAGCTAGTGGGAGGCAGGCCACCATGAGCATCATGATTGGCAGCTGAGCCAGAAGCATTGCACAGCACGTTTCCTGCCATTTAACCCTTGGCTTAGAATGACAACCACTGTCAGGCAATCCAGGGCATCAACCTCATGGTGCACTGGGTTGACTCGGCCCCAGCAACTCATGATGACCCACAATGCTGACTCCCACCAGAGCTGATCCCAAGTCCTTTGGAGCATAAAGGTTCTGCCAGAATAGGTGCCTCTGGGCTTTCTCTGGGTTGGGTTCACAAAGAGAGAACTGAGGAACTCAGGCAAGAAGAAGTGGGGAAATGCTAGCACTAGTTCCACCACAATCTCTAAGTTACCCTCACAAAGAAGGAAGAATCATACTGAGGATGACAGGATCCTGGGAGTGCTGTATAACATCCACAACTGTGCACAGAAAACTAGAACGCAGGCATCCCATATGGAAGCTGGACAGAGCCCTAGCTGCTTAACTTCTTTTCATTTATTTTTTTATTTGAAAGGCAGAAAGTTACAGAGAGAGGAGAGGCAGAGAGAGACGTCTTCCATCCACTGGTTCACTCCGCAACGGGTTGCAACAACCGAAGCTGTGCCAATCCAAAGCCAGGAAACAAGAATTTCTTCCGGGTCTCCCAACTGGTGTAGGGGCCCAAGGACTTGGGCCATCCTCCACTACTTTCCCAGGCCATGGCAGAGAGCTGGATCAGAAGTGGAGCAGCTAGGACTCGAACCAGCACCCATATGGGATGCTAACAATGCAGGCAGCAGCTTTATCCACAATGCCACAGTGGCAGCCACCTGCTCTACTTCTGATCCAGCTCTGTAATAATGAGCTTAGGAAAGCAGAGATAGATGGCTCAAGTCCCTGGGCCACTTTATCCATGAGGAAGACCCAGATGGATTTCCAGGGAACTGCCTTCCTTCTGGCCAACATGGCCATTGCGGCCATTTGGGGAGTGAACCAACAGATGGAAGACCTCTCCTGCTCCTGCTCTTTCCTTCACTCTGTTAACTCTGCTTCTCAAATAAATAAAACATGTGATTATGAAGATAATCCAGTGAAAATAAGCACTGAGGTTACAGAGTTACAGATGCATGTATTTTGTTCCTGGGCTTTCCAGTAACATTATATGCTCCAGAGACAGATGTCAAGTAAAAAACACCATGTACTGAGGGACCTCAACACAGTTAATCTTAATTCTTGGGTTTCTATGTTTGGAGGATGCAAAGAATTTTTTCAGCTACAAAGGGCGGGGGTAGAGATGATGAAGAAAGGGGGGGGTTACAATCCTGGAGCAACAGTGCCACCCAGCGGAAGAAGTTTCAGAATGGCGTGCAGTCCACCCATTACAAGTGCAAGGCTTCTGAAAGGAAGTGTGGGCGCCATTGCTGTTTGGAGAGCAGGTGTGAAGAGTGATACAACTGGGCTCTCCCACAAAGGGATCTTGAGTGACAGAGAGCTAGGGCTCTGTCCAGCATCCATATGGGATGCCTGCGTTCCAGTTTTCTGTGCACAGTTGTGGACTTTATACAGCACTCCCAGGATCCTGTCATCCTCAGTATGATTCTTCCTTCTTAGTGAGGGTAACTAAGAGATTGTGGTGGAACAAGGCTGCTGTGGTGCTGGGGGCCAGTCCTCAGGGGCCGCCATGG